AAAAAATCTTTTCCCAAGCCTGCTTTTCTAAATCATATGGAGACCATGCTGTCTTCCCCATTCCCACTTCTCTTGAGTGTGTTCAGTGAACATTTAAGAAAGAAGAACAACTTAAACTGGAGCCAGTTCATCCATGAAAATTCAAGATTTATAAGAAAAACATGAATACATATAATGATTCCATAAACTTTCACAGTAGAGCCAGATCCTCCTAACCAGCTAAATTTCTGCTGATAAAAAATTTTAATTGGGTCCTAATTTGAATTTTTGGTCATTTAGAAAGAATAGCCAATACCTTTGGGTTAGTTAACTATGAAAAAAATATTTGTTGTGCACAGCACAATGTAAACTGAAATGTACTTAAAATGCTTACCTAGGAGAACACACTGTTCCTAAGCATGCCAGAAGCACCAGTTTAAAAACACAATGAGATTGTAACTTGAGATGAAGCCTGAAAACCTGGACACCAAATCCTCTGTGCTCAAAATAACTCCTTACCTGACTTAGGTGAAACCCCAGACTACCTGTATCCAAATCACTAAATAACATTTCTTTAAAAAAAAAAAAAAGGAATGGCTGGGCTCCGGTGGCTCACGCCTATAATCCTAGATATTCAGAAGGCAGAGATCAGGAGAATCACAGTTTCAAAGCCAGCCTGGGCAACTAGTTACATGAGACCCTATCTTGAAAACCCTTCACAAAAATAGGGCTGGTGGATTGGCTCAAGGTGAAGGCCATGAGTTCAAGCCCCAGTATCACAAAAAAAAAAAAAACCTAGGGTATTCACTTCTTCTGACCCAGACTTTTACCCTTGTCCCGTGCTCAGTCTATGCTGAGGAGGTCTCCCTGACCTGTTGTTCTATCTTGGCTATCTTGATGTTATAACCTCCCAGCAGTAAAATATAATTTGGTGTTATTCAAAAATTGAGTAGTTTAAAAAAAATAAGCATCATTCCCAAGAAAAACTTCCCACTTTTGTAAACAATGCCATTATATGGGAAAATATTCACAATGTATAATTATGTAAGAAAGCAGTCAACCTAAGATATTATTACCATATTACTACTCTGACAAATAACATACATCAAATTATGTGTTAGTAATGGGACAAGGGTTGACTTTTTTCCTTACTGTGCCTTTCAGAATATTCTTTTATAAGGTATAAAAACTGAGCATGTGTAATTAAGAAACATGATAATGCTCTGTAAAAACACGTCACAAGCCAAGGTTTATTTCACAGTACACAGTGCCTTCGTTCTCGTGCTCATGGTAACATACAGCCCTCAGACACCACTGAGACAGCGTCCCTCTGTCAGGTCTGTGTCTGGACAGAGGGCATGTACCATTCTAAGGAACTGGTTGGCAATCAGGTGAGGAGTCACACTGAGCACAGCAAATTAGCTCCCAGGTGTAGATAAGGCAGGTGACACAAAGCCAATGTCTTTCTCTCAAGTGGAATCACAGATAGGTGGCAGAAGAGCTTACCTAGCACCAAACCATCTACTGAATTTGTTTAGTAAACCAGTGAAAAGGCTGCTTGGTTTTTGTGCAGATCATGCTGCCAAGTGAAAAACAAATTTCCCTTTCAAACAGTTGATTTTGGCCCCCCACAGGCTGTGACTTAAGTTTCCAAAGTTCCTTGATCTCTCTAAGACTAAGGAGGAGAAAAGGCTTGCCAGTCTATTTATTTATCCACTTCAAGATGTCTTCGTTAGAAAAGTAAAAATGGTGAAGAAGCCCAAGCTTGAATTGGGAAAACTCACAGTGAAGGGTAGTAGCTATGTAAAAGCTACAGGAGACGAGACGGATGCTAAAGTCAAATGAGCTAATGGATACGAACCACCAGTCCAGGAATCTGTCTAAAAATCAAAATTTTAATAACAGCAAATAAAATATCCTATTTGTGAAAAAACAAAAACAAAACAGAACAACAAGGAAAAGAAGCCGATCACCCAAACATGGGAGGTGATGAGGCCAAGAGTGATTGGACACGAGGGCACAGCCTCACTTAAACAACACAGAAGAGCTCCCTACCAGAGAGAGGCTGTTATCAGAAGAAGTGGGGGTGAGTGTTGAGCAGGCAAAAATAGATACTTGCTACAGAGAAAAATAAATGGATTATTACACAGACTAGTCACAAAAGTTCTGTTGAAGTCCTGTCATGATACCTAGCCAAATGGATTGCATTTTCCACAGAAAAGCACAGTAATCCCCTCTCCATATTCTCAGTTTTGCTTTCCACAATTTCAGTTATTTACAGTCAGCTTCAGTCATAAAACATTAAATGGAAAATGCCATAAATAAACAATTCATAAGTTTTAAACTGTGTGCTGTCCTGACAGCATGACAAAATCTCATGCTGCCCTCCACCATCCCCTCTGTCACACTTGGGATGTGAATCGCCCTTTTGTCCATTGGAACCCACGGTGTATATGCTCCCTGCTCATTAGTCACTTAGTAGCCATCTTAATTTTCAGATAGAAAAGCACAGTATACATTGGGTTCAGTGCTATAAACAAGTTTTCAGGCATTCACTGGGAATCTTAGATCATCTCCCCAAGGATAAGAGAGAATTACCATAACTAATAACCTCAATCAGAGATCTGTGGACATTTCTGTTCTCAACTCATTCCGCTCCACAACTCAGGTCTTCAACAAAAACCTTGCAAGGAGTTGATGCTTTGCCTGTAGTCCTGGAGCTGCTACATAAGTAGGTACAGGTTGCACACAGATAACAAATAAAATTGTCAAAATGTGATTTTAATAGCTCTTAATGCTTTTAGTTAATATAATGCTGGCTAACAGGAACACATTAAAAGAGAGATTTTCATACTTTTCTAGTCATAAGTCAGTTAAATCTTATTAGGTAGATGTTTGTAAAATAATGACACTGCTGATCTGAGTCCTTTTTAATTTTCCCATTTGGGATACTGCAGGGACGCTGGGGAAAGCATTGGCATTTGCCTGGTACATGTTAGTAGGGACCAAAGGGATTAACAGAAATTGGAAAACCCCCCTTCCAACTCAATTGAATGGGCAAAGTCAAATTTGATGATGGTAGCTATGCCAGGTAGTTTTGTTTGTTTTGTCACTGGCTGGTTTTGACCCTAAATTGAGATATCAAGACACTGAGCCAGTAGTCCACCTCTCTCTTCAGATCTCTTAATATTTGCTTTATATGTTTATGTGTTCCAATGCTGGGTACATTTAAATTTACAACTGTTATTTCCATTTGATGATCGACTCCATCATTATGCAATGATCTCTTTGTCTTTTTACAATTTTTGACTTAATGATTATGTAATAAAGTGTAACTATTCCTGCTCTCTTTGGTTTTCATTTGCATGGAGTTTCTCTTTCCATCCCTTAACTTTCAATCTATGTGTGCCCTTAAAAGTTAAATAAGTTCTCTAGTAGGCAGCATGTAGGGTCTGATAGGAGAATGTAAAAGGAAGGCATTTGTTTGAAGGACATTTGGCAAATAGAATGGCAATTGAGTATGGGGGGCTTCTAATTTATTATCATTTATGTATTGCAGGTTTTTTTGTCATTTGATTCTGAGACTTAAAAGCTCAATTCCTTCCCATTTTTTCAAAACATCAACTTATTTGAGTGGCTAACTTACATGAGTTCTGCTTAAAACAGTAATTCACGTTTGGGTATGACTAAAATTTCAATTCATAATCAGTGTTTCTTGTGGGAAAAAATGAAATAAAGTTATCTGGAGAGACTTTTAAGTGAAATCTCTCTGCTTAGCTTCAACCCCGTTCTACTGCCCAATCACAATTTTCAATTCCAAAAGGAGTTTGTCCTAGAAGGATCCCTGGCTGTCTACTTCTCTCCTACCCTGTCATCCTTTGCACCCCCGGTGTCTGATCTCCTGCATTTATCTGTCCTAGTAGGGTATGTACTTATTCGCATGCTGACTTTGATTCTTTTTTGAGCTTTCTAAGCTATAAAGCTCAATCTTCTAGGTGTCCTCCATTTGTTCTCGCTCTCTGTGACTCTCTTGCTTAACACTACATTTTGATGATAGTAAAAACAAACAAAAAAAAGCAATAGGAAAAGGCATAATATTGATACAATTCAAATAGAAAATACAGAATTCTGTGCTTCCTTCTAAGACTTGCTGACTCATAATTGCATTTAGAGCATGTCTAGAAATTAGATATTTTATCATTTCCACCCACTATATCATATTGAAGCAGAATGAAAATCTGAAGCTTGAAAATTTGTAAGGCTACATTTTATCTATGATTCAATAAAGACTCACCACATTTTCCAAGTGTTGCAAATAAAATGTGCATTTTGTACATGCTCTGAAATACCCTTATTGTTATTAAGGTAGAAGCTGTCACATAAAGACTCTGAAATGAGTATTAAATAAGGTACATTAATGGCCTTTTGCACCTTCTGAAGGGAAAGCCCAGGTTGGCCAGTGTAGTACAAAGAAAATGAAGCTCCACTTACAACAGCCCTGTGGATCTCATAAACTCACCTGATAAAAATACTTCTCAAAGCTTTTATGTCCAGTGTGATGCCCAGGCATTTCCAAACCATGTGTATGTGGCAGGAATAAGTACATATTAAGTATATGCTGGTCAAAATTATGTGGGAAACCCTCACATCAGAAACAAAACTCAGGATTTAAAAGTCATCAGTCTCTGGAGTGACAGCAGATTAGGAGATGCCAAGAGAAGCAGGTATTTTGGGACAGGAGTCAACAAAGACTCTGCTTTCTAAAATTACTAAGATTTCAGTCTAAGTCCAACCAGTCCAACCACATCAGTAGGACAGGACTGTAGCTTTTGATCTCCCCTTTGGGACTAAGCAGTATCTGGCCTTTGGTCTGTTCTCCCAACATATCCTAAATGACTCTCACATCATACATTATGCTGGTCAGGCACTGAGCTTTCAACATAGAGGTACAACCTCATGCCAATAACTGATGTTAGCATAGATCATTTTCTGTGCAGTGGTCCCAAGAAGACCCTGTGACCATGGGGGAAAATGAACATGAGAATAAATGGAAACCCAGTGAGCGGACAAGGGCCCATCCCAACAACAGAGGAAAGCCTGAGTACAGACCTGTTATGATAGGCCATTTAATTTTGTTGGAGAAACTGGACTTCTGACAGATGAACTTCTTTTCCCTCGAATTCATGTTTATCTAACAGAATTGTGGTTAGGAAATGATCCAAGAGTCAAAAGGCCAAACAGTGACCTGGTTCACACACTGTGGACTCCTCCCATCTCACTCCATAGTTTCCCCAGGCAGGTGTTTGGGTGGGCTGTTGGTATGTCCTCTCCACAAACGCTCACCAGGGACATATTAACCTCTTGCTCTTGGCCTTCTTGGTTCTGGCAGCCCCATCAAGCTCAGGTGTCAGTGACCTATTCCATGCTACACTCTGAGCCTGATGAATGAACATCTTGTTATAATGCATTGGGAATTAGAATCATCAGTGAAATTAAAGAAATAATAATGCATTTTATTTTTAATACCTTTCTTTGTGAGAAAATACATTTTCATAGACTATCCAGTTGTAGTCTTTCATTACCCCAAGTGTGAAAGAACAAAGGAATGCTAACTAAATATTCTCAGCCTTATCTTTGAAACTTTAATATAATCCACTAAAAAGAGGATTTAAAGAAGTCTTTCCTCCTTCTCCATATTTTCCTGGTTCCCTGGTGTATAAATAAGACAATTTTCCCTGCCTGAAACTCAGCCTTTGTGTTCTGTCATTTGTGGTTTAGTTATTACCCACATATTTATGATTCTGCAGTGAAGATAATCTCTGTAGATGCATAACAAGCTCCTTTGTATTTCCCACTCATTTTACACCCATTTCTGGAAAGACCAACGTACAGACTTACCTGAGAACAATTTTGCCTTGTAATAACTCGCACAAAGCTCACCAGTCTCCTTGATTAAGGAGGCGGAGTGCTAATGTGTGATTGTTGGATTCACAGTGTTCTTTATCTCATGTTTTTCAGAAATTGAGGCGAAGGAAGCATGTGACTGGCTCCGTGCAGCTGGGTTCCCACAATACGCTCAGTTATATGAGGGTACGTAAGCCTTCCCTTCATTTTTTACAAAGAGAGTAAATTAAAAGTGAAGTGTGATATGTTGTGTTTTCCAGGTCTTTTCTCTACCATTTGCATTGCTTCCTTATCTCCTCACCTTTTGCAGTGCTCTGATACCAACATGGAAATAAGAATCACTTCCCACACCCACTCTACCTTCTACTTCCCACCACCAATTCTATCCAACTCTATATTTTCCTTCTGCTTTTCCACCATCAACAACTTTTCTGTACTTTCGTTTGTATTTTTTTTCTTGTTTTTTTCTGCACTACTCTCAGTTTTCTTAAAACTACAGTGAATTAGATGTTTGAAAGGTTCCTAAACATCTCAAAGCTAATTGTTCTGAGATTTCTCTTACTTCTGTTTACATGAAAAATGTTAGGAGCAATATGGATCAGATGTCATTCTCCTCAGTTTTGGAAAAGAAGATTTTTATTGCTAGCATTATACTTCTCATTAGTTCTTTGACAGTTAGTAAATGTACTCACCTATATCTTACTTATATCTAAAATTGCAACCAATGCTTTTAACTCACTTTGGGATCATCTTTATTTCTAGTGAATTAGTCACATCCCAGCACTGAGCAGCTAACACACTGAAGTAACCTGTGGAAGATTATTGCTGATAGTTTCAACACTAATGTGTGGACAGCATGTAGGAATCTGCAGGGAACCATGTGCAACACAGGAGCTCAGTACAAGTGCTCTGGCAGCAACAGAGCTATCACTACCAAAGACCCAAAAGGATAGGAGGAGAGAGAGGGTGCCAGGGCCCAGGAGAGAGAGGATATTTGAAACAGACCCTTGAAGGAGCATACCGCTGTCCCTGGATGGCCTCTCCTGGAAAGAAGCCAAGGCAAATTGCCTCATTCTATTTCATCCAGGACTTCTCGCTGACAAACACAAAAGGCACACAGAAGGCAGAGGGCACTAATGTCATCCATCTCTACAGGTGATACTTGGGGCACAAAGCAGGGTGCAGAAAAATGAAGAGGGGGTCTGCATGGCTAAACAGAATACCTAACACTTGAAGCTTCCTGGTGGCATGAAATTTGTGGAGGATTGAAAGAATCAATAAAATTAACTTTACTATAGGTGACTTCTGTCCCTTCACCTACCTAGAAGCTCAGTTTTATATTTTAAAAATACCCTGCTAATCCCATTTAGATTCTGTAATGTCATAGGAGAGCTTCTCTCTAAATGTGTCAAACTGCTGACAAAAGTTTTCATAGAGTTGCAACCTATGTGTGTGTCTATGGTCGTTACTATGACACACACTAGAATGAGATAGTCTTCATTCTAGGACCACCTAGAATTCAATCATGTTACTTGTTTCACCACAGGGGGAATCATTTTTTGGGTTTGGTTTGGTTTTGTGTTTTGTTGTTCGCCGTACTGGGATTACACCCAGGGCCTTCTTGAGCAAGCCCTCTATCTCTTAAGCCATGCCCCCAGCCCTTTTGTTTGCGTTATGTTTTTGAGATAGGATCTTCCTAACTTTGCCCAAGCTGACCTCCAACTCATGACCTTCCTGCCTCTGCCTTCCATGTAGCTGGGGTTACAGGCATGTACCGCCACACGCGGCAGAATTGTTTCTATTTCTAACTCACGCTAAGATTTAGATGCCTTAGAATTACCATGATTGGCAAGGTATAGGTAGTAAAAAAATATGAAAAAGAGAAAGAAAGGCAGGAGAGGTAATGAACTAACATTGTTAGATTTGACATTGGCCTCCATGTCAATGATCTCCAGAGTTCTACCTGCATAAAATGGGGTATCTAAGTTAATACCATGTTGTGAATATTGCCAGTGACCTCCCAAGCTGGCATGAATTGTCTGTTCAAGAAAAGTTATGGCGTTAGAATTTCATCTTCTCTTTTGCTGACACTTCAAAGTGACTCAAGATTTCACTACAAAAGAAAACATTTGAGAGCATTGAACTTTGAGTATTTTGGGAAATGTCCTTTTTTGAAAGAAAAAGAAATCTGCCAAACTTAGTATTGCATAAATCATCAGGATAGTGAGCTATGCTTTATGTGGATGGTGAAAATGCAAAAGCTCTTCTCCAATTCCACATCAGCTTATATCTGTAATAACGACAAGCTATAAAAATGCAGTCACTTAGCATTTAAGCCTAGCCAAGGTCAAGCATTTGATTATTCTCACATTTCCCACTTATGTTGTACTCTTGAAAGCATTCACTGTGATAAAAATAAAATTGTCTGCTGTTTTAACCACCACCACCAATGATAATGGACAGGATAGGAAATAACTACTATTAAGATCGGTGGTTTGTGCCGATCTCGGTGGCCTGAGTATGTTGGTACCCATTCAGATACAGCAAGATGCATAACCCTTAGTCTCTCCTTTTTCTCTTAGATTCACAGTTTCCTATCAACATTGTGGCTGTCAAGAACGATCATGATTTTCTTGAAAAGGAGCTTGTAGAACCTCTTTACAGGTAACTCATATGAAGTATTTATGTTTCTTTCCATTGGTTAGTCTGCAATAGGTAGGTATCACTAAGTCGAGGGTGAGTTTAACAATTTACTGCATATTTATTGTGCGCCTACTATGTGCCAGACATGGACTTAGGTTCTAGGTATACTGCAGTTAGCGTGACCAGTTCATGTTGTCACGGAGCTTAAATACTAGTAGGGATTTTCAGACAATACGTTAAGATAAAGGCAGAAAGGGACAGAGACGAGAGAGCGAGAGAGAGAGAGAGAGAGAGAGAGATTATTTCAGAGTGTGTTAGATGTAGGGTGAGGAAGCATAGATGGCCACAACATGAGTATTCAGGAAAGGCTCCAAAAAATTCCATAAGTATGTCAAGCTTGACTGTATTTTTTTGTTTTTTGAAAGTCAAGTGACTATATTTTCAAACTGCTCTTTCTAGCACGTTCTGCATTTGACATACAAAAGGTCATAGTTTAAGGGGAAATAATGAAGAGCAAAACTTTTATCAACCTAGGAGACACTAGTGTATTTAGAATAGTGTGTAAATGATCTCAATTTTAGGCTTATTGAATCTTCAGACATATATTTTTATGTTCACAAGCTGGTCACTCTGTGGCTCCTATATGAAGAGAAAATAGAATTATGTTAAGAAATGACCTCTGATGGTCAAGAAAGAAATACTATGAGTTTGCTTAAGTTCAAGGTAACAATCCTGTGGAGAAAAGCAAAGTATTCTTCAAATCATAAATTTGAACACAGACAGGCTATTTGGACCAGAAAGCAAATAAACCACAAAATGCCATTTGTGAGAGTTTATGAGTTGAGTAGATGATTTGGTTGTGATTCTTCGAAGGTAATGAATTGGAAAAGCCTGTGGAATGCACATGCCAAGCAAGATCAATGCCCCCCTCAGAAACCCTCATTCATGACACGCAGTATCTCTTTGTGTTTTCCTTCTCAGCATTACCTAAATTGGCATTTAAAAAGTAACTTATTTTTAAAATTATATTTCATTATCTTTTCCCATTGAATTCTAAAACTTTGTATTTTATATAAATTGAATTATAACATATATATGTATCCAGTAAAAATTCACTATTTCATGTCTATAGTTGTCTGAGTTTTAACAAATGCCTACAGTCACATACTCCCACCCCAATCAAGATATAGAACAGCTCCATCACCCCCCCCAAAATTCCCTACTTCCTATTTGTCATCAGCTCTACCCTTCCTTCCAACTCCTTGCCAACACTGATTTGTTTTTGTACCTACAGTTTTCCAGAATGTCATGCAAATGATGTGAAGTAGCATGTAGCCTTTTTAGTCTGGCTTCTTTCATTTGGTATAAAGTATTTAAGATTCATTTATGTTGCTATATGTTTCAATAGTTCATTTTTTTTTCTGTTTCTGAGTAGTATTCCATTATATGGATGAACTCTAGTTTGTTACCCGTTCACCAGTATATCTGGGTTTCTGCCAGATTTGGGTGACTATAAAAACACGGTACACATTCATATTCAAATTTTTGTGAGCATAAGTTCTTGTTTCTTTTGGATAAAATCTTAGGGATAAGATCGTGGAGGCCATATGACAAACCTTTTTTATTTTATAAGTAAACATTTCCAAACTAACACTACTCTTTTGTATGGCCACCGGCCACCAGCAACATATGAGAGTTCCAATTGCACTTTATTATTGTCAATTTTTGTTTTGTTTTTAGACATTCTAGTTGGTGCCAAATGTTATCACATTGTGGCTTTAATTTGTATTTTCTTAATGACTAATATTGGCAAATATCTTTTCATATGTTTATCTGCCATCTATGTACTGTTATAAAATATCTGTTCAAATCACTTACCCCTTTTTAATTGTGTTGTTCATTTTCTTATTGATTATTGAGAGTTTTTATTTGTTCTAGATATAAGTCCTTTATAAATACTTTCTGTTTGTCTTTTCAATATTTCATGGAAAGAAAGTTTTTAATTTTGTTGAAGGTCTAATTTATCCATTTTTTCATGCTTTGAATGTCATGTCTGAGAAAGCTTTGCTTAACATATCTTTGCCTAACATACTTATCTCTGTGTCTGTCCTTGTATCAGTATGACACTGTCTTAATTGCTTAGCTTTAGATTCCAACAAGTCTGTTGGAATCCAACAGTATTGACTCCAACTTTGTTCTTTGCCAAGTGTTTGGGTTCTTCTACCTTTCCTTATAAATTTTAGAAATGGCTTGTTAGTATCTATTTTTAAAACCCTACTGTAGTTTTGATTTGATTGCATTGAATCCAATTTTAGTTTAGAGAGAATTGATATCTTAATATTTAATCTTCTGATTCATAAACAGCACATATCTCTAGGTCTTCTTTGAATTTTTCAACTGTGACTTATAGTTTTTGGCATATTGATGGCATACATACCTAAAAATTTAATTTTTTTGGTTTTATTAAAGATGGTACTGCTTTTTATCATTTCAGTGTCTACTTTCTTACTGCCTAGAATATAATTTTTGGGTATATTATCCTTGTATCCTACAATCATTCTAAAGTAACTCATTAGTTCTGGTAGCTTTGTTGTACTTTCCTTAGGATTTTATCTCTGAAATGTTAATGAAAGATTACATCTTAGGCCAAGAGTAAAAATTTCATTATACATTTGAAATCAAGATTGAAGAAAACATTTGAGGGGCAAACACTGTCTCTGAGTATGTAGTTGTATTGACATAATGACTTATATGACTTAGAGGGCCAAGCTTTGGATCTCAAATGAGGGTGGTAAGTCCTTATCCACTCACTGCTGCAAGTGATCTGAGATGACCTGAATGAACTTCTCCATCAAAGTGTATGGTTTAACCAAAAAAAAAAAGTCTTTCAGACTTGAAAGACTTGAAACTTGTTCCTTGTTATAGGAATGAGCCAGTACTGTCAATGTGAAATCATATAGAGATATAAAGTTCTGAATAATAATACTAGTTTCAGCCAGAAAAATCAAAAAGTCTGTTCTTATAGAGCACAAGAGCCATTAGGATATAGCTGTAGTAGGCTATATATCTGTATCTATATATCCAAAAGACCTTACTACATCAATGTGAGGAAGGGCAGCAGTGCTAGCCACCACAGCGCTCTTGATAAGGGCTTGATAAGGGCCTAGCTTGTATAAAAATGGTTGGAGTGGCAGGAGGTTGTAATTAGAACAATTCTTAGGGCAGCTATGTCTCCAAAAATATATTATGAAGCAAGAAAAACATTTGGCTGGAGGTGTGTGAACTGAGACACTCCAGGGGTAGGTGCTGTGGGTAGAACAGAGGCCAAAGGAATAGTCACACCCGGGGTGGATCAAAGGAAGCATGTGGAGTAGGTAAACAGATGGAGGTGACTTAGCCAAAAAAGAAGCAGCAGCGTGGAATCTCTTTCCCTTCATTGTGAGTTCCTCAGGACCCAGATTTCTGCCTTGCGAATAGAGGAAAGTAGGCAAAAGGAAGATCTCTAGCCCAATGGGAATGACAGCACTTTTCAAACTTTGAGATTGATGAGTGGTTAATTAGATACTCTCCCACTCATATGGTAAGTCATGATTAATGCTAAGAGAGCAGTATAGGGATGTAACTTTATGCATTTTTTCCTCCTGCACTATAGTCACAGGTAAAGCTGGTTTCCTGCTTTATTTTTGAAGCTTTGTGGCCTGTACAGTTCTCATACATATTTGAAATGCCAAGGCACTGCAGAATGCTGGAGGGAATCATATAGCCAGAGGGCAGGTAGATTCTGCCAAGTAGAAAAAGGCAGACAGGACAGCCAGAGTCTCCTGCAAATGGTATCCACCGTAGGCATTGTACTCACCTTTGGTTTTCTGCATATGTCTCCCCTGTATAGACAAGTAGTTCATGTCCCAGGTCCCGGTTTACGAGAGAGTTATTTAAGAGTGTCACCATTTTTTTTTTGATTGGCTTTAAGATATCTATTGTACTGAGGATGTGTCTGACAGAAAGGAACCATGTCTAGCTCCAAGTATGTGGATGAGTAGTTCTCATTAATTTTTTTCAAGTTTTTGTAGTTCTAATTTTTAGTTCCCAGAAACTACACAAGTTTACTGCATTGCTGAAGGTGTGACCCTCCAGAATGACAACTGAGTCTTATTGGGACTCCAGCAATGTTGAGCAGTGCACCCTGTAAAAGTTTGTAACTGCAAGTCAGGAAAGCATGCTTTCTGTATTTTAGCAAACACAGTTAAAATTCTGTTTGGATGTTTTTGATTGAATCCTATTGAAAAATATTTTCTCCTATGAGTCATGAAAAGCTCATTGTGACTCTGCCTAGGTGAGATAATTGAAACTATAACTCTATCAGAATGTAGTGATACCCAAGTATCAAAATATCTTGCAAGATTTGACACTTTTAAGGCAAAGGGCACCAAAGCAAGGCTCCAGAATGAAATTTTTTATAGGAAAAGTAATATGTTCCATCAGCATTTTGCTATATTTACCACATTTGCTCAGGCTGCTAACGTAGGGCCTCAATGCTCAATATGACCTTTGAATTTCTAAATTAATGTTAAGTAAGTAAACCATTTACATAATTTGTGTTGTTAATAAATTCTAATTAACTATAACCTGTGTTAAATAAGAATATCCAGTGTTTGGCGTTGTTTGGTGGAGCTAAAGAATTGGTTAGAACTATACGATGTGTCACTGACCTTTCATATTTAAAAGGATAATTAAGAATGAGTTTCATATGGAGCAAGGGTGAGCAGGGAGAATACTGACAAGAATGATATTTATGATTTACCTCTATATGCAAAGGTCCATATTTGCTTTAAATATGTTAAATAATACTATTAATATTAATGATAATGTGCATGAATATTGATAATTGACTGTAAATATTTTCCCTTTTAGACAATTTATCCCCAAAATTGTGCAGGATTACTTATTGTATATAAGATGATTAACTGGATTGAATCCTTGGATGAGCCATTCAGAGAAGGCAATTAGGGTTGCATGATCCT